TAAATGAGATTTGTCATTTATCCACTATACCAATGTGGCAATGCCTTAACGGCTTTTATGAACTAAATTTATGTATATAAAATAATGACTTTATTTACAGACAATTTTTAAAAAAAAAAATTGAAAAAAAAAATCATTGTAAATGTCATTTAAAATATTTCATTGGAGCTTTTTAATTATATATGTTTTATACATTAATTTTATTTGTAACAAAATTAAGTAAAATATTTATATTAAGATCCATCTTCCTGATCCACGATATAACTACTGCAACATGGGTTAATACTGATTGATATATATATATATATATATATATATATATATATATATATAGTCATATCGTGTTAGTTCGATCATATTACGTTCTTAAGTTACATATATATATATATATTTTTAATATAATCTCAATTTGAATTGACTCAAAAAAAATTACATATATAAGGGTGGTCCAACACTACTCCTTACAGAGGTTTGTGTCTACCAACCTAACCCAAGTATTATAATGTGTGCCATAGAAGAGTTTTACTATATGTAGGTCAATTCCTAATACAAGTGTACTCCCAAATCTTACTTTCTAATGTGGCGGGTATTAATAAGCTTTTTTTTTTTTTTTTTTTTTTTTTCATGTGGGTCTCAATACACGTGTTTACATTAAGATTTTGTGTATGTGAGTAAAAGTTGTACGTGACTATAAAGTAGTACACATGCATAGTGTTTTCCTACTTAGAATATGATGCTAAGGCTATATTATCCCTAAGATACTCTCTCACTTTTAAAAATGAGTCATACCTTTATATCATTAAATTTGTAATTTCTTCACTATTTTCTTTACATCAATGCAATACTTTCTCACTTTAAATACGACTCAACAATTAACTTCCACATTACAATACAATAAAATAACAAAATAATAATAAAATAAAATAAGAAAGTACAAAAAGACTATCATGCAATAGACTTTTTATACTTTGCAAGCTTTCAGTACACCTGAACAAAAAAAAAAAATATTAATTGTTTTTCATTTATTTATCCATATCACTTTGCAAACCCCATCCTTTTAGGAATAGAATCAGCATAACCAACGTTGCCAAGTTGGCATCTCTATTTGTTGTTAGGTTACTTAGGTATGGTCGTGTGGAGTACAAAAATTGATCAATCAAAAACCGGATTTTAGAATAAGAAGATTGCGGTTCCCCAACACGCTTCAACTTCTCCCTAATCTTTTCAAATTCTCTCGTCATATCTGATACGACTACTTTCGCTTATTAGGTTCCCTATTATATTATTCCTGCTTATATACTAATATAATTGTTGTATCCTTATTTCTTAACTACTTTGACGTGTACCATTTCTATTTAATGTATAGTGTTGAGAACAAACAAGAATAATAAATCACGAATAAAGATAGAAAACAAAGAAGAAGATTTGCATGATCCGACAATTTATATATCATCTTTCACTACATTTGTTAGTAACATATATAGTTAGCTTATCAACAAATTTTGACTTGTTTGACCATTATTAATTGTTTGACTTGGTTAAACAGTTAATGTGAATGTTTGGTTAATAAGTATTTTGTAACAGCTTATTCTCCCAAAAAATTAAAATTCAAAAAGCTACCCAAAGCAATTTTTTCGATTAACTTTTTGAGAAAATAAGTTATACATTTAAAGGTCATTTGTCATGTAATCAACTATCAACTAATTTACCAAACACTTTCTACATACAATCAGCTAATCCTATCAATTAGTCAAACTCATTAATTCAATCAGCTAACAACTATTTGTCAAACACCTCCTATATATATTCCACTACATTTGCCTATTTTAGTATTTCATTACAAGTTGATGGGGCCAATTTTAAAGTTGAGAAATAAAAGCGACAAAACTACTATACTCAAATGATTAAAAATGACATTAACCGTAACTTTTCAAGTTTTTAACTAAGTATGTCAAACGAATCCTATACTTCATACTTTTGTTGTTGGGTTTTTTTTTTTTTTTTTTTTTTTTTTTTTTTTTTTAATACAAAATTATGTAAATTAAAAGTCATTGATAGTGACATGTTTCAGATAAATGATTAGCTGTAATTGTAAAATTTGTATATGATAGAATTTAGAACATAAATTTGTGGTAAGAATGGGTTGTACTAAAATCATAGCTCTTGGCATAGAACAAATTCCATGCATAATGAGTAGAATATATAATGCAATGTTTTCAATCAAAAATAATATATTCCTCATCACCATATATGTCCATCATATCTGTAGGATGCTCTAACAGTACTACTACTTGTTCCTTAAATGAAAAATAATAATAAATAAATAAATAAAATAAAATAAATAAGAATAGAAGTTTCTTTGTTTATTTCACGGCGTACGTAAAATCTGGTGAGGGAATAATTATTATAATCAGCCGAAAAAGAAGAAGAAAATCTAGCTAGATAGATAATGTTAAAACAGCAGGAATAATTTCAACATTGGTGTTAATAACTTGATATAGATGAAGAATATTTATTTATTTTTTTTGAAAATATTTGTTTTCTAGGTGACGAGGAAAGCCTGCAACCAATACATAAGAGTGCACAGAATAAACCTCATTTTTGTGTAATAGCTCATAAATCACACTAAAAAAGATAAATCATATTTAGAAGACCTCGTGGGGTGGGCTTGACCAAGAGGGTGATTGAAAATAAGTCTTGAGTAATTAATAAGCAGTCTGTTAATGCAAATATAAAGTCTGAGGTTCTTTTCTTGTACCAGAATTTGTAATTAAAAAAAAAAAAAAAAAGAGATTATACCAGTTGAGATCCTTGGATTATTGTGATTTCTTTGTAAAAGTCCTATGTTGATTTTTTTGCTCGAATTAGTCCCTTAATTACAAGCTTTGGCACATTGATTTTGACGGAGAATTAACGAAGAACTAACAGAAGGACCAAATCAGGTAAGATTTTTGTAATTAGGGGACTAATTCGAACAAAAAATAAAACATAGAACTTTTACAAAGAAATCACAATAGTCAAGAGACCCCGGCCAGCTGGTATAATCTCTTAAAAAATCTATTAATTTTAACATTATCGCTGCAAAATTGCAAAGAAATTTAAATGAACTAAAATTTTGTTGTTATTTTTGCAACGAATTAATTATATATGGTGAAACCATTACAGATTTAAAACAAAATTTGTTACAAAATTCAACGTTTGCAAGCCCATTGCAACTTTTGCAACAAATTAAACATTGAACTCCATTGTAAAAATTTGTGCAAACGGAAGACATGCTCTCAGATGAAAAGTGAGGATTGAAGGGGCAACTTCAACTAAGCTGGTAAGGCTTATTATCTTTATACTCATAATGTTCCAAATTTAACTTCTAATATGAGCGGTCTGTGGTCCTATTCGCACGTTTCTCCAACATTCCATTTCTTACTTTTTTCAAAATTATTATGCTTGACAAAAGTTTTACTTCCTAGATGGGAATTGAATACATTTATCATTTATCTTAAAAAACTATTGTCTACATTAATAAAGTGAGGAATGTTTTTGGCATATGTGCTTGTTAAGGTGCAAACAAGATGGGGACAGGTGAGGTTGGTTCTTTGAGTTCAGGCATTTAATTGGATATGTTGAATTGAGATGAGATGAGATGAGAGCACAAAAAACCTTTGGCTGTCATCACTATTAGTGATCACAAAAGCTAGCCTCGAAAGAAGAAACAACAAAAAAAGGGCATTTCACAAATCACAATCCATATATATGTGCCATCCACTGCCCACTGCAAAAACCATTCAAATTATATTATTTGATGCTTACGTATCAAGATGAAGGAAGCCATGGGGTTGCATTGGTTCATATATCTTGTGATCTCATCCTGTGATTTGAGTATATATATTGTTTCCTCATCTAGTTCAACCCAACAATATCATAAAAATTGGTATATATACTGTACTCCTTTTTTGGATTTTGTTACTTTAATTTATACTCCTATCATATTCCACAGTCTTCAATCTGCACTTTTGTTTTCAACACTAAAGCTACATACATTGTACACTAGTAGTTGTAGTGCATGTTTATTGGTTTGGATGTACCTTAAATTCATCGCTTGGATTTTGTTTTTGTTTTGATACATTAGATTTCTCAGCTTAAGGACGCGCTGGAAAAAGTAAATCGCAAATTGTTCAGTCAGTTCTCAATTTTAACTGTGCCTCAATGCCTGTATACTCTGCGTACAAGAAGTCTTCATCACCTCTTCGCTGTTGGAGCAAGATTTTCGGTGTGACCCTTGAATCATTGAGTTAAGACCATCAGAGGTTGGATTTAATTGAAATAGATGTACCTAAAGTTCGAATGAAGTGAATGGGGTTACATGCAATGTTTAATCAGAAGAGCTGGCAACTCAATCAGGATGAGTTGAACTTAATCAGTTAATTGTGTTTTAATTAAAGATGAATATGTAAGTTAAAATGAATAATTCGGAATAAAAATGAATATATAGATCAATAGAAATAAATGCATAGTCAAAACAGATGTATATGGAGTTCAATTGAGATTTACAATATATTTCTATGGGTGACAAAATCCCGTGGTTAATATAATAATACCTAAACCTCAACTCTTAACCTAAAACTATCTACATCCTTACAATTATCTCACTTTTAAAAGTGAGCCCCACTATCATATCATTATATCTTTTATTCACTATTATTTTGAGTGAATTTCATTTTCAATCTTAGATTTATAACTGACAATTCACTTTTAGTAACTTAGATGATCCCAACTTCGGTCTACAGAATTTACCTTTAAAGTCATTGTAAAAATAAATCGCAAATAAATCCAATCTACACACTTCCACCTTTAGTTGTAATATCAAATCAGGTGACGAACCACTATGCTAAACTTCATGGTATTCAATGATGAGATAATGACTCATGGTATTCAATGGTCATACCAAACTTCATTCATAATTAAACTAGAATTTCTCAACAACCATTACTTTATTCCCAAGATTTAAAATAAAACCAAAACTTCGTTAACCTAATTTCATCTTGTTGAACCACAGGTGGTGTATAGATACACAAAACTAAGAAATAACAGTAAAGAGGTAGAGTACATAATCATAGTCTGGGATTTTCTCAAACATTAATCCCACTCACTGTACAAATATATAACTGATATGCAGAAACTCTACTGTAGACTGCAGTTTCTCAAACATCAATCCCACTCATTCATACAGAATATACAGCTCCAGCATGTAGAAACTCGAACACATTACATTACATACTATTACACAACAATGTGTGAAAAAAGATTACAACAATTAAGCAAGTAATGCAATAGTCTTCATAATGGTTCTGTTAGCAAGGGCTTGAAATCCCCGAGTTCCTTAACATACAGACCAAGACCAAAGCATATAGCACCCACAGACAACGCCCAAGCAACTTTTCTGCACCATTTCATTGATTTTGTCAACAGGGGTATGTTAGTGAAATGGTTTTCGTCCCAGATTCAAAACATTCACACCAGATAAATTGCGTCAGCAGCAATCATTGTTTGGCTTCTTGGCTATTTTCGCAATTCTCAGATATCCCAGCCAATCATCAAATATAAGATCGAGTAGTTTACCAATTAGTTTTTGTATGGCCATCTTCCCAGCCCGGTCATTTGGCTGTAGAGCTGCCAGAGCTGCTGTCTGCTGAAGGCGGCTCTTTGTTTGCTAGAGCATGAAGCATTGACTGTGCAGCAATCAACTTCTCCCTTAGCATAGCATTGTATTCATATAGGTTTTCGATATTTCTCTGGAGATTACTCATACTCATCTGCTCAGGACCCTGATGTTCTGTGAACAGAGACGAGCAATTAACCATGTATAATGGCTAAGAGTTCTATAGGAAAACAGGCAAACCTATTACTAAGAATATCGACCCAAAGTTATAACAGTTGCAGCAATAACCAATAGAGAAGGAGAACGAAAAGAAACCACCTAGTGCTTCACTAGTGAAATAGAGAAGAGATAAGAATACAATTGTCTTGCAGTTTAAAACTTACCTAATGGAGGAGGAGGTGAAAGATCTAAATCACCAACTGCAAAATGCAAGCCAGTTCCATCTTTAATTTCAGATACAATATTTTCCTGAAGCCAGAAATCACATGAATCTGCATGTTAGTTTCTTCAACATGAAGGATAACGAAACATTCGTTTGGAACTGACTGTCAAATGCAAAAAAAAAAAAAAAAAAAAAAAAAAAAAAGAGCTATCTTGGTTGGCATCTGTTGAATGCTTGGTAAATTTTTTACTTTTGGAAAGCAACAAGAAAAAATTTGAAAAGAGGAAGTATGAGAGAATTGGTGGATATATGACAAGAAAGATATTAAGGATGTTTATAGGAATTCAAAAATCCAACAAATCCATTATTATGAAAACAGTTTGATGACAAAATTCAAACCACAACTATAACAGGGAAGATAGCAATCACATTAGGCTCTCTTGAAAGCTGATAGGATGAAACAACAACAATAAGCCATTCAAGTCAAATATTTAAAAGCTTCACTGTTAAATCATCATTGAAATGATGGCATGCATTCATAAAAGGTGACAAGGAGAAAAGTAGGCAAAGTACCAGTTCTACCTTTGAGGATGATCTCTTTTCCAGGATAGATACAGGATGTGCCACCTTCTGATGACCAGTCTGCTCTATGATAGTATTCTGCAGAATTGCAAAGTTAAAATCATCATCCAAACTCCAAATTTAATATTTTCAACTGGATTTTAATGGATGTTTTGCTAACATAAGTTAGCATGATGTGTCACCTTATTGTCTGGCAAGCTAACTTTTGTGCTAAAACTTATGGTATCTAGTCTCCTTTGCTCTTTTTGCTTGTGCAATGAACCCTTTTTATGTAATGATTCCAATGCAGCACCAGTGCAACACCCATCATCTCTCACATTGTTGAACTTGTCTTCCAATGCGCTAGGTCCCCATGTGTACATCACATACTTCCTTAACTGTTAGAAAACAAACAAATTTAATAGAACTAAATGCAGGGCAATGAAGTAAATCAGAAGCTGAATTCATATGATATAACAGCATTAGTCTATTCAAAGGAAAACTCACGCTTAAATTTCAGTAGATCTATATTACGGAGTAATAAATATGACAAAACTCACCTTGTTCCAGTGATCTTGAGCTCTCCTACGACTTCTAACCATTCGTATCACACTATCCTCGTTGCGGAATCTCTTTATCCTGTTTTCACACTGTAAAGGACAAATTATGGAAGAAATCTGAAACCCTGAAAAGCACTATATCATTCTCATACTTCATCTACACCTAAATCTTCTAAACAGTTATTTACAAATATTGCAAATACTTCTAACCCTGAGAAGTACAAATAGTTGGCACTCCTTCAAAAACTGCCAGTGGATGGAAAAATTGGAAATATAGAGCATGATATCATACCCTTAATTCTAGACACCAAGATACCTTTCACCTTTCAATGAAAAATATTGCAAATGTACCTCTGAACCAGTCCTTTGGTCCATAATTTCAAGTCATCAAGTCAAGTTGATTTGTAACAGTTATCTCATATTTTTCTTTTTACTGAATAGCCAGTTTCTGGCTGAATTCCCCCGGGCAACCCACAACCAGCGAAATTTAGCATTCAGTTGTAGATAATGGTACAAAAGAAGTTCTCAACCAACACCAGTTCATAAAACTGTGAAAGCACAATATAACCTGTTAACATAGAAACTGAAAGGAAACATACCTGCATCATCATGTAGAAGAAGATAACAATGCTGATACAATAAAGGCCACCAAGATCCGCAAGGAAGCTTACTGCATTCTTGAGAAAGAAGCTATATTAAATATCAGTTCAAAGAGAGCCTAAAGGAATATAATAGATATACAAAGATGCACAAAATCCTTAGTGAAATACTGAAATTGTGTCTGCAGTCTGCACTCGAATAACTAAACATCAAAGTATAATCTCCCATTAAATTTTTTATTCAATCTAAACATTTGAGATCCAAGCGCAATCCTCTTTTACTGTTTAAATGAGTTTCCCATATGGCATACCCTGCATTGCAAGTCTATTTGACTAATTCATTTCAAGATGAGATTTTTACACATATGCGTATAGTGCAAAGATTCACTCCAGAAAAGAAGTCAAAACAAAATAGACATAGGATGAAAATAATTTATAAAGAATGCACTAGCATTACAACAAGAAGAAAATATTTAACTATTTAAACACTAAAGAAGAGATATGCTGACTAAATTATTAACATTACTTCTATTACTCACCAGGACCCATAATGTTTTCATTATCGATCTCCACAATATATGAAGAAAGAAAACTGACATATAATGTGGTGTTGACGAGGCCATCATTAGAGTTTTGGAGAGATGATTGAAGTTGATTTACTTCATTGAAAGATGAACCTGGGAGAAACTCATGAAATAGCGGCTGGATGAGTCTCAAGTTATCCATATTACGGTAAATTCTAGGAAATACATTGAACTTTAATATATTCGGAGTTGTCCCTCTATATGTAACTGGCTTGTTGCCAACATTGCTGCCATTTCTCAGTGTTCCACTGACAAAACTCAGGTGCTTCTTATTTGCTGGATTTTTTGCTGTTAGGTTAAACTCAAATCCAACAGCAGTTGCAGGACTATTTGGAAGATCAATGAATCGCCAAGATACAAAGGCACTGTCTCGTGTAAGCGGACAATTTGTGCACTTAAGAATAATAGTCGGTCCCTTAGTGGTGTTTATGCATGAATGGCTAGCAAAGGTTGACAGAGGAGCCACTCTATAGTCAACAAAGCCAGGATTCCCACTTGTAACTGTCTCAAGACCTCGTAAGTGTGAACAAGTCATGCTTGAAATGGTAGTAATATTAAACTCAAGATCATTCCTGAATGCTTCTAAATCAGGTGCATTTGTTGCTCTTACGTTATTCACCTCGATGGTTCTCTTGGATATGAGTTGGTAAAGCAACCTGTAGAAATAGAAATAACCACCTTCTACTAGCATTAGAAGGAGAGGATAGTATGAAACTAAAGGTAGAATGGTGTACTTGAAGAGGAAAAGCTTATTCTAGAGACATAGTATGAATGAACTATAAGGAAATGCACTTATAGGAGAGACCAAACTGTAATGTACTCACGCAACAAATAGACCAATAAAAAGTATCAAACTTGCTATCGAGCAAGTTCCGCCCAGCTCTGTTTTGCGCTTCTTAACTACCTTCTGGTCATCCTACATAAAGTGATAAAGATTCCTTCTAGTTATGATGTAAAATCTTCTAAATTGCAAAATGCATAACAGTTTAACTAAATTTGATACAGTTGAAACTTCATTAAAAATAATAATGATAAAAAATAACAAATCAATGGACAACAATATAAGCACTCTTCAAACTAAACAAGAAAGTAGCTCCAGACTCTTGATGACAGTCATATAGACAATGATTGTAAGTTAATAATTACAACCTGTCAATTTAGGATTTTAGCAATAAAACCTAATAAAATGTCTGTTGACAACCAAGTGGATGCCAAACTGAAGTTAAAGCTTGAAACTTAATAGAATCCATAACTGGAGGTCGAAAATAGCATTTAGCAATTGAAAACCAGTATACTTAAAAGGTAAGCTCAGTTTAAAGTTGAATTCTTGTAGATAGATGTGTTCCTAGCTTCTGTTTCCATGTTCTTGTTCTTCTGTTCTTTTTCTTTAGAACCTGACCCTAACTAATAAGTTTCAACACTTGTCAGATAACCCAAATACAGCCTTTCATTATAGGTAAAACACAGGCATGAAATGCACTGGAGGGCAAAGAAAAGGGAAATCCCCAATATTTCCTGTGACAGCTGCCATGTTAGAATAGACTCTAATTTAGATCTTAATTGAGCAATTTTACTTCTTAACAGAGGTTTTAGATGCTTAGTATACCCATACCAATGGTTTATTGACCTCAAATTAACTAACAAATCCATGCATGCTTCAAGGTTGTGGACTCAAGTTCCTCAAAAATGCATTTCACACAAAAGCTTCATGTGAGATTCTTGCTGCAGGATAATGAGCAGTACCAACTGTACTTAGTGTTACAGTATTAATTTATTTAGGCCATTATTAGTTAATTTGTTTATAATCAGTTCAGTATTTTAATCATACAACCGTACGACGTTTCTAATCATATATATCCACCAATGAATACAATCGAGAAGCTTCTAAGTTAATTTAGTACGGAGTAAATAGAAATCTAGAGAGTTGTTAATAGTTTAACGAGGAAGAAAAGGAGGAGAAGACGCACAAGAAAATGGCGAGTGGCGAAGCAGATGTCGAGGCGGCTAATCCACCACCGGATCTGGAACCATAAGGAGCGTCCATCGCCTAGCGGAGCGAAACGAGCTAAGAAGCATACGACGAGCCAGGAGAGGACTAAAACGAAGGTTGCCTGAAGGATCACAGACTGCGAATGGGTGAGCTTCTTCATGGAATCAAAGTCGAAGATAGTGCTACTGCCAGGGAGGGAAACGGAGTTGTAGTCCACGCCGGATTCCACCTCAATTGGACCCCAGTCGGCGAAGAGCGAGCAGCTCCGGCGAGCAGCGTCGAACACGTAACCAGGGTTGCAGGCGCACAAGGTTCCATTGTACCGAAAAGAGTTGCTCGGACACTGCATTTTCTCCTCCTTGGACTACTTCGCCTCCTCGGCGCGGCTGCCGGACAATGATATCGGCGGCACGGCAGATTAGTGGCGAAGTAAAGAACACATGGAGAGAAAAGCTTAGAAGCAAAGAAAGAAAACGTGAAAGGATCGATTTAGAGCTTCTTTTCTTTGTTTCTTTTACCAGAATCGGAATTTAGATAAGCTAAACATGTACAGCCTGACAATGGCGGTTTCTTGCCACGGTGGTAAGACTGGAATAAATAAACAATTACGGAGTATTAGTTTAGTTTATTTATTTCTTGCCTGATAGTGATATCACGCGGTCACGCCACGTTGGTGGGACACTACCATTATAAAATGAGTTCGTTCTACTTTACTCTCAAATCTTTTTTTTTTTTTTTTTTTTAAGTGGATCTCAATACAAATGACAAATTATTGTGTTGACCATAACAACAAATACATTTTTAATATATTAAATGTACATTATTTGTGTATTAAATATACATTATATAAAATAATGTACTTTTAGTACTCAAATAATATACTTTCTCTGAATACAATGTACATTATTAATATATTAAAAATACATTATTTTTGTACTAAATATACATTATTTTATAACATACAAAATATAGTTCACACAATAATAATTGAATACAAATGTATATCAAAATTTTGTGTGTGGTAATAAAAATTGGAGTATATAATGAAAGTACATTAGTATTTTCCTTATAAAATTCTATAACCAATACCTTTTACCAATAAATAATTGAGTAATGTTATCTACCTCTCTAAAATTTTCTTCTCTAATCTTCCTCTCCTTACATGACATTTTCTAATTGAACAAATAACTTTATTTTTAACTAATAGTGGTGTCACCCAATTCATGGGCAACCAATAATTATTAGCCACATCATAGGGGTGAAATATTAGGGATACAGTTTGGATGGGTAAATAGCATTTTCTTAAATAATTATAAGGACTACATATAGGCTTTGTTTGATAGAGCTTATTTATGAGCTTATAGCTTATTTTAAGCTACTAATAAGCTATAAGTTTTGTTTGGTAATGTTCCCAAAATAAAATTCCTAATTTAAAATAAGAGCTTATTTTGAAACGCTGCGTTTCAAAATAAGCTCCTAACTTCATAACTTTTTTTCCATCTTTATCCTTATTATTTTAAAGAAATGACATAATTTACCCTTCCCAGTTAAAACCCTTTTATCTTCTCCTTTATTCGCAACTTTCACCGCAAATATTATTATTATTATTATTATTATTATTATTATTATTATTATTATTATTATTATTATTATTATTATTATTATTATATTTGCAACAATATTACTACTTCATTATCATATGCTATATCATGATTATACTAATAGTTTTATTTTAAAATGTTATTTTTTTTTTAAGACAAAATGTTAAATTTTAATATGTAAACAAACTAATTTCAATTTTATGAAGATGCCATTTTTAATCTTTTTACATTTATCAACTTATCAAAAAACTAATTTTACCAAACACTTTCAATCATAACAACTAGCTTAACAGCTCTTCAATTTTCAGAGCTTATAGCTTTTCAGCTTTCAGCTCATAGCTTATAACTTTTCAGCTATATTTGCCAAACAGAGTCATAGATTTGTGTTTTCTACTTTCAAGCGTACATCTTCTATATTTGATTTTTAATTATTAATCTTAATTATGTGGCCATTCATTTGAAATGATAATAGAAGTATCATCACATAATAGTTAACATTAATTTTTTACATTTAATATATGACTATTCAAATTTTTGTCATATTTGATTATTTTAAATATATATATATATATATATATATATATATATATATATATATATATATATATATATATATGACTATTGGGGTTGTTGAAAATGTCATTGATGTAAAATACTTGATGGATAAAAGCAAAAAAAAAAATAATAATAAAAATAAAAAAATCTACATATATTTAACATATGTTAATTTCTCATATTATTTGAATAAATAATACTGTTTTAATCTTAAGTTTACCTTCTAATATTCTTTGAGTGTGACAATAAATTTTTTTTTTTAAGATTATTGTTATTTGACTTACTATACGTCCATACCTAATTTTAAAAATATATACTTATTAATTAAATATAAATAAATCAAAATTTAAATGACATGTAAGGATGTGAACTAGTGTGGAGAATGTAGCATTAGTTTATTTTTATTTTCACATTTTATATTAATATTGTATTATGTGCAAATTTGAAGGAGAATTTGACAGTAATGACTGTTTTATGATGTATTAATTAAGAATACATCTAGCATTTTCCATTAAAAAGAGAATCGCAATTGTTGCATATTATGTGGCTCAACTTTAGTCAAAGTGTAGAAGCTTCAATTCAATGAATTCGAACATCCTACACTTCTTGCCCACAGAAGATTCTACAATCCATCCTTTATATTTTCCTCAATATTAAACCAAATTAAAGTATGTTACTCATAAATTCTTTTATCTAATATTTAAATCCACAACCCTTTTAGTCTAGTCTAAATTTATTTTAATTCAATTATTGGCAAAAAAATAAGTGAGGTTTTCATTCACCAAATCAATATTTTTTTTTTTAATAACATACATCCCTAAACATCCGAAAATGATGATAATCAATTGTATATTTATTTTTTTTTTTTGAAAGGTAGTCAACTGTATCTTAAGAAATGAAATTTTTATTAGAATAAGTTCACGAGTCATTTTTAAAATATTTTTTTCAGTTACAGGTATACTTTAAGAATGGTGCTTGGTTGGAAAGAAAATGTTGTTTATTAAATTTGAACAAAAATGTATTTTCCTCCGTTTGGTTTATGGAAAACATTTTTCGGTAAGAATTAAAAAAAAAAATCCTTAACTCACCGTTGGTATTTTGTTTTCAATAAAAATTAGTAGGACAATTTTGTTCTCATTTATATTTTTATTATTATTATTATTATTATTATTATTATTATTATTATTATTATTATTATTATTATTATTATTTAAACACTCGTTGTGACCATCCATTTAGAATGATAACAGAAGTGTCGTCACATTACATAATAGTTGACTTATTATTATTATTATTATTATTATTATTATTATTATTGTTGTTGTTGTTGTGCAAGAATATATTAGTCTTTATACTCATTATTTTATATTCTTTATATTGTACCATAAATTAATGGTGAAAAGAAAATTGATATTTCTATTATTGCGGCATTCATTGACAAAATTAATTTTATCCATCTATATACATGTAGTATGGTCCCAATGAAAAAGCCCAAGATGTTTTTGTCAACTTCGACTTATTTTTCCTGTCACCTTGCCCTTGTCATGACCTTGTTCGCAGATGCTCCGTCGGGGCCTGCACCACCTGCATAATTGATTATGCATTGAGTTTCAAAATAACGTCGTTTTATTTAATGAAAAGAAACAGCATCCGTTTCGCACCGTTCTGTAAAAAATAACTTTGCTATTCAATTTTTTTTTGTATACACTACAATTTCAGTTCAACACAACTACAGTTTCATTCCGATATAACTACAGTTTTATTTGATATTTATACACTCAAATATGTGAAAATGTTATTTAATTTTATTTTATATACATTATAGTTTCATTAAAACACAACTACATGATCATTTCGATATAACTACAGCTTTATTGTACAATATACACTCAAATATGTGAAATGTTATTTAATTTCATTTTATATACACTGCAGTTTCATTTCACCAGAACTACATTATCATTTTGATATAACTGCAGTTTCAATATGAACTATAGTCCATTATGATTTCTACTAGAAGTAGTATTTTTCGTTTGGGTGACGATGGAAATCCATTTAGCCACTACTCAAGAATATGCAACCCTAATTAGTAAAAGATCACAAGAAAGTAAATAAGTTTAGATAGTATATAACTGATAGACTCAATAGACTGCTCCTATCAAAACTCAAAAGTCAATTTTTTTGTTGAAAAGTATAAAAAGTCAAATTTGAAACTTTATGGTTATTAAACCAACCATCTGATCAATTTTTTTTATCAAGTCTGATGTGTCATGAGTAGCCCTAACTATAGGAGGCACTTTAAACCCGTATCATACTAAGACTAATCCTTATTTGCACCGGATCGGCCCAAATAAGAGACAAAATGTTGGATTGGGTTTTCCCGCTACTTGGCTACTAATTTTGCAACAACTTATGTTATGGACTCGGGTCCACCTTACAAGGTGGACCAAGGTTCAAAACGCGCGTCTGGAATAACGGTGCCGTTAGTGACATTGTTTCCTCAACTAATGATATATATATATATATATATATATATATATATATATATATATATATATATATATTGTTGTGAATATAGAGTCAAAAAATTTTGAATATAGATTCAAAAATTGTGTAATACTGTTAAATATAGAGTTTTGTAATTGTGAATATAGAGTTCAAAATTTATGAATATAGGTGAATAAATTCTAAAGACAAACGATAAAAAAGGAAGCAAATTTTTTTAATTTAGACGGCGTCATTTTGGATTCGGATCCATGGCAAAACAATTGTAATTTTGCAATGCTTGTAGGGATATAGCCGGCTCGGGCAAACTTTTTATCCGGTCGGACCTGCGGTTCCAAAACGAAGCAAATAGCACGCGGAGTCGGTCCAGCCGGGGGACACCTCCATTTCCCATTTTAGTTCATAGCTTCTTTTTTATTCAGAGGAGAGGTAAAGCGAGACGGATAAAGAAACAGAGAGAAAGTAGGAAACGGAAAACGTTAAATGAATGAGAAACCCGCCATCGCTTCTTTCGCTCGCGATTGACTCCGCGCTTCATAATCTCCCCTTCTTCTCCGATCTCTCCTGCTTGCCCGATCACATCCTGGTTGAGCTCTTCCTGGTACTCCCTTTCTCTCTCTGCGATTACACAAGCACGCCTTTGATTTTTGGTTTGATTTTGACATCTCTGCGTGTGTGAATCATTTCCGTGTGTTTCATGTTGTGTTGTGACTATCGTGAGGTTATGTATTGATTTGTTTGAATTATCTATTATTTGATCTGTAACACTATTGTGCCCTTTGGTTTTCCGTGAAGTGATCAAAAGATTTGGTCAAAATTTCCTTTGTATGTGGAAAATAAATTTGCGGAAGGCTATGCAATCTCTATACAATTTCACTGGAGAGAAGAGTTGGATGATAATTCACTTTGTTTGCGTATTTTTTGTTTGGCAATCTCTATACAATTTCACTGGAGAGAAGAGTTGGATGATAATTCACTTTGTTTGCGTATTTTTTGTTTGGCTGTTAATTATCTTATTTCCTTTGGGTTTGTGCCTATTTTTGAACAGTCAAAGAACTATTGCAATGCATTTATTTCAAATGTTCCCTTGCATGAAGCAGGGATTAAAATGGGGATAACTTGATGTACTTAAGCTAGAAAACAGTTTAAAATAAGCTAAAACAGTATTGCAAAGTGGAAACAGTTTAAAATAAGCTAAAACAACCGTCAGCTTAAGGTAGTGAAGACTGCACTAGGGCTTTTGAATCAATCGCTAGTAGTTTATTTGCTAAATGCAACCGCCAGCTTAAGGTAGTGAAGACTGCACTAGGGCTTCTGAATCAATCACTAGATTTCTGTGACATGTGATTCAAGGACACAGCTATGTGTCACGGACTCGTTCCCTAACGACGTCACGTGCGGTCTTAGCTATTCTTTCCTTCTCAATAGCTAAGTCAGCCTCGCTTGACCCTCAAAGGTGATGCTAATTTAACGATGGGATGGCTAAGAAAACAAGGCAAGAATCCACAAAGAAGCTTAAGAAAGAACTCAAAAGCTTTGTAAGGAACTTGGATTACTTCAACACTTGGATTCTTTCTATTGTTAGAGCCCCATGGGGAGTATTTATAGCCATTCCACCTCCTCAATGGATGGTGGAGATTTACTTGATCTAATGGTTAATAATCTAGTTCTAGAAAATTCCCTAAATCTCTACACAACTAAGAGTATTCTATAGGGTTCTAGAATATTCTAAAGCATCCCTACATCTTCTAGTGTTATCTATATGTTTCCAAACTATTCTACCATCTAGGGGATGCTATGTACAAGTTCTAGAGAAGTCCAGAAAGATGTAGCACACCTTGGAAATGTGTAGCAAAGTGCCCTACGCGTTACATCCTCCCCCACCTAATTCGGCGACGCCCTTGTCGCCTTGTATGCCTCCAAACGTCATGTAACTTCCACAAGTCCTCCTCGAGCTCCCATGTTGTTTCAGACTCCGGTAGCCCTTTCCATTTGATAAGGTAGTACGTTTGAGGTGCATCTCCCCTTTTGTGGACTACCTTCGATGTGAGCACCTTTTCTATTCCTTGGTCGAAGGACTTAGTTACCACACGTGGTGCCCTTTGTGATTACCCTCGGCTTTGATTTTTCCCGGCCTTATGATGTGGCTTATACTCTTGTGGCCTCCTCTTCTTGTCCACCCAAGCATTGGTCACATCGTTGGCTTTTACAACTTGCATGGTTGATAGATGTTCTGACCCTTTCACTTGCCTGTTGGGAGCTTCGAAGGTTGGGATCATACATGAGGACCCATTTTCCAAAATGCATATCTTGTTAAAGGATGGCATGGGGATGGCTGTGGCTTGACGAAGAAAGTCCATCCCAAGCACGATTTTATAATCATCCATGGGTGCCTCAGAAAAATTCACTTGGCCCTTCCAAGTGCCTAAGCGTAGCTCTACGCCAATGAGGGGTTGGGCTCTTGCATTGGCAGCCTTGAGCCAACCTTCCCCCTTTGTCCAACGAAGACCGAGTCTTCTAGCCTCATCCTCAGTCACAAAATTATGTGTGGCACCAGTATCTATTAAAGTTTGTGTTGGCTTACCGTTCACCAACGCTTCCACGTACATCAACCCTTTGTTCGACGTCGTTGGCATTGTTTTGGCATTAAGGGCGGTGAGGAGTTGGAGCGATCCCATCCTATTTGTTTCCTCTTCCTCGCAAGTCTTGGCCTCGTGTTGCTCCACTATCGCCGAAAGCGAACCAAGCTTCGGACAATCGTTCATGCGATGCGGCCCCGACCCCTTGCAAACGTAGCACGCAAGCTTTGGCACGAAGGCATTCTTCTTTTCGTCGTATTCCCTTCGTGCGATGTCCTTGTTCCTATTCATGGTTGGTGACCTCCTTGAGTTGTCCCTCTCTCGACCATCATGCCGCTCTCTTCCACCTATTGTCGGACTCTTGTCTCTTCTCCTTGAAGGATCGAAGTGGCATTGGGAACAAAAGTCGGTATCAAAGCGGGACGTACTTATATTGCTACGCGTTATGGTGGGATCCTCAGGGGGCGAGGATTATGTGAGCACGGTGGCGTGAGGGGTGTGCACGTGCTGATAACGGCTCCACTCCTTTAGTCCGCAGGGGGCGGATGGGTCTTGCGAGGAAAGGGGACTTGGGTGGCTGCCAGCTTAGTCGGGCTACTCTTCGTGAGCGGTCCAGGCGTTTGCGGCGCGTATGCAATATTTAGTACGCAATCCTTGGGCAAAGGCCATCTCCCCCTAGCACGAGGGCGTGCTAGATGTTGGGTGGGGAGAGTGTCACGGACTGTTTTTCCGTGACCGTGTGGAGACCCAAAAGAATGTGGAAACGGCCAACTGGTTAGCAAAGCCATGTGGGTAAAGGCTGATCCGCGGGGTATGAGGGGCCCCGGGATGCCGCACGGGCGCTGTGCGTTGCGCCGGACTCTATGCCCGTGTCATATGGCCCTGTTTGGTAACATAGTTAGCTTATCAGCTTATTTGACCCCTATTAGCTGTTTGACTTGGTTAAACAATCAAAATAAGTGTTTGCTTAATTAGCTTTTTGTAACAGTTTATTGCTCCAAAATGCTAAAATTCAAAAAGCTGCTTTGAGCAGCTTTTTGAGAAATTCATTTTGCATGTAATCAACTATCAGCTAACAACTAATTTACCAAACACTTTTCTACAATCAGCTAATGCTATCAACTAGTCAAATCCACTAACTCAATCAGCTAACAACTATTTACCAAACACCCTCATATAAGTTTCTGATTTTCTTAATGGACAGGCAGAAATGGCTTCACTACAAAAAGAGGAAAAGGGAGTATAAGAGTATTAGGAATTTGTGGCATTCTATCCCATGGTTTCGATCTGTTTTTTATTAGTCTAGGGTCTTATCAATGTAATTACTTACCAAATGCTGCAAAAACATATTTAACTGCTCCAAATTCCTCCAATTTACTTTACTGTCTTTATAAATGTATTGCACCTCCTACTTTAAGAAGATACGAATTTTTGTATCTTGTATTTGCTGAGATAAATAGCTGTATATCCAGTACTCCCCAAAATTTTAGATTTGATGATAATATTTTGTTTTAAATGTTGCTGAAAACTGATTACCTTGCTTGTATTTACTGGGTATTACAATATGTCATTTACTTTTAACAGAAAACCTTAAGAGCTGGAAAGCTGACGGAGAAGATTTTGAACTTGTTTGTGGCTACTGGCAAAGAAGAAGTCCTTTCTCTTATTGAGGCTTTCAACATCCAAGCTGTTCTAACTCCTGTTCTTCCAACTAGTAAGCTTCTATATTCCTATTATCCTTTAAGAGATTGGTAATGTTTTATGACCCTTAAAAAATGTTTTTTCAGCTTGCTGCGAGAAGCACTGAGCCTGTTTGAGATTAAGTGAATTTATTAGTAAGGGCTAGCGTGTCTAAGGGGACAAAGATTAGCTCTTTTGTTGCTTTTTGATTGAAACCTGATAAAATGGTAGAAGTTAGCATCAGAGATGATGAGATTGATATTGTTGTTGGAGCACTCCAATCTGATCTTACGTCATTCATGTGGGAGTGGAGACCAATATTCTCCCGTTTCCACCTTATAATTGTCAAAGATCCTGACCTCCAAGAAGAACTTAATATCCCAGGTGGATTTAACATTGATATCTATACAAAATCAGATATACAACGCGCTCTGGGGTCATCAAGTGCTGATCTTTTCTCTGGCTATTCATGCCGGTATTTTGGTTATCTTGTTTCCACTAAAAAATATATCGTCTCAATTGATGATGATTGCATTCCAGCAAAGGATCATGAAGGAAATACTGTTGATGCAATCGCCCAGCATATCAGCAACCTCGCAACTCCTGCCACACCCTTTTTCTTTAACACACTCTATGACCCTTTCCGCAAAGGAGCAGACTTTGTTCGTGGCTACCCATTTAGCTTGCGAAGTGGGGTATCATGTGCTCTGTCATGTGGACTCTGGCTTAATATGGCAGACTATGATGCTCCTACACAGGCCCTCAAGCCAAAACAGAGAAACTCTAGATATGTTGATGCTGTTCTTACTGTACCAGCGAGGGCATTGATGCCTGTGAGTGGAATCAATATAGCTTTTGACCGTGAGTTGGTTGGACCTGCTTTGTCGCCAGCTTTCAGGTTGGCAAAGGAAGGGAACCTGAGGTGGGAAACTGTGGAAGATGTATGGAGCGGGATGTGTGTTAAGGTAGTCTGTGATCATTTAGGTCTTGGTGTAAAAAGTGGGCTTCCTTACGTGTGGAGGAAAGAAAGAGGTAATGCGATCGAGAGTTTGAAGAAAGAGTGGGAAGGGGTAAAGCTGATGGAGGAAATAGTTCCTTTCTTTCAATCACTGAGGCTGTCTCCACAAGCAACTACTGTAGAGGATTGTGTTACTGAGATTGCTGCAGCGGTGAAGGAGCAACTGGGAAAATCAGCGCCTGTGTTTTCTCGGGCTGCAGATGCCATGGTCGAGTGGGTCGAGCTCTGGAATGATGTGAAAACTCAATAAACCAATTGTTGCTTCAGTGCTTAAATTATCCTCCTTTTCAATTATTATCCCCAACTTATTTTGATAAGCCTTGTACATTTTTTGTTTCCTTGTGACTGATCAAGGTAGGTGGAGTGGAAACAATAGAGTTATAGTTGGTGTGTTATGATTTAACTTTTTTATATTTTCCACTAGAATCAAAATTTAGAGGAGGAAAATAAATGCATTTATTTCATACCATTATAGATGTTTGAAAATGCCATCATGGTGAAGTTTCTTTTTCTGCTATTTGATGCCTAATTACAATTGAATTCACAATTACAAGCTTTACTAAACACACCTCTTAGTTCCCAGTTTAAGAGAGGACAAGGGCAAAATATAAAGCAAGCTGGAGATTTGGCAATAAAAACATCGGCTCACATACGAGTTGATGAAAATTACCAATAACTAGAATACACTGAATGTGAAAAGATTTTTGTAGCATGGTACATACAACAGTGCTTACATCCGAGTTGATGAAAATAACAAATAACTAGAATACACTGAATGTGAAAATATTTTTGTAGCATGGTACATACAACAATGCTTAGTGTGTCTATACAGCAACATAACGGCAAGCAAATTTTCATTCCATATATATGTGGGTACGCTATCTTCAAAGGATTGTGCCACTTTATTTTATTCTTTCACAGAACCAGTATGCTTCAAAGGATTGTGCCACTTTGTTTTATTCTTTCACAGTACCAGTATGCGTAAAGCATTGTCTTATAGAGAACATACTGTGATGACGACGATGAGGGACCATTTTAGTTTCTGGCTCAAGGTTCTTGCGAGGAAAATGTTTGTAGAAAGCTTTTACTGCTCCTGTTACCCCATCCTCGTTTTTCATGGCATTTGATAGTTGAATAGCACGCTCTTTCACCTACGTTAAGAGCATAAGCAGTCAATTTTTTACAAAACTAGTCACTTTGTGTGTGCATTATCCATTCCTCGCCAACGAAATATTTGTTACCTCGGAATCTAGCATGAACAAAATGGCAGCAACAAGATTGTCAAGTGAAAACTCATCTACAGGGATAGGTGCAGGACCTACTCCCCTAGCATGTACACGATCACCCCAAAAAGGTTGGTCCCCAAAGAAAGGTACCACAGTTGTCGGACACTGGAAATGAAATAATAACCACAAGTTAGCCTGTGAAATAAGTCAATAACTACTCTATAAATAAGGAGAAGACATAAAGGGAATTCAGTTAATACTGCAGCTCTAAGGCCAGCAGCAGTTGTTCCTGCGCCCCCGTGATGCACCTGAAAATTGCAGGAGAAAATTATGTGTGGCTTTGATTTTGACAATTGTGAGTAAAACAAAAAAACCAATGTTAAAAATTAAAAGTTGATTTTGTTGGATAAAATCATTTGTTAAGCTGAACTTATTTATAAAATATGACAGATGATGATGACTTGATGCACAGATCTTTGCAACAAATCCCAGATTAGGAGGATTTACCACTGCAGAACATTGCAAAAACAACCAATCATGAGGGCAATTATCCAACAAATACACATTATCCTTCGGCTCCTTCACTGAAAGAAGAACAGCATCACAAGTTAAATTCTTGATCAAGTAGCCACACAGAATTCTAATAATAAATAAAGTTCTACTACAGCCAAATGTCAGCCACTTACAGTTCCCAAGGCCACCCCACCCTTTGTTAATTATGCCTCTCTGCTTTGTAATTTCCAATGCTTCAACAATTATCTGAGTCATTTTGTCTGGTTCTTCAACAGGCTGCAAAAAGTAAGACAAACTTTTAGTCAAATTGACCAACACAACTATAAATGGGACAGGGGGAGTCATAGTTGCCATCAACTTACAAGGCTGCCAAAGCCAATATAGATGGGCTTTTGGCCCTTTTCAAGCCATTTCACAAGTGATTCTGGTGGAACATAATTAGAAGCAAGGTCTAGGAAACAGAACCCAACAACATCAGTTCTGGGACCCCAATCTGCAAACCATGGAAAACCAAGTCCATTAGAAACAACTATTGTGAAAACAGTCCACTCTGCTGGTATCATATATTGTGGTGCAGAAATTGTAGAAAAATAAATATAGCTATCGCTAGATCAAAGCTACAATGGAAAAACCAACACCCAAAAAAAAAAAAAAAAAAAAAAAGAGGTGATATATTGATTTTTTATGGAAATAGTACATACATAACAGACAGACAAGAAAAAGAAAGAGGCTAATTGGAGTGGTGTCTCTAACAGCCCATGAAGTAATTGGTTCTTTAATAAGATGAATATAGAGCACTATAACAGTAAAAAACACAATTACATAAATCATCAAAAACAGTAATATCATTTTATCATAGTATGTGGAATGTCTCAATTATACAAATCATCATATAACATGTATATAAAAAGATGACCTTTGGGTTTATGAACATAGTATGTGGAATGTCTCAATTATACAAATCATCATATAACATGTATATAAAAAAGATGACCTTTGGGTTTATGAACAAGGTTTGGACTCCAGATATATCCATAAGGGGTCTCAGGTGAACTGAAAGAATTAGTCAAATATGTAAACCGCCTTAGTTTCAACTTTTTCTTCCTGAAATCATTTATCACATCCCGTATGCCAAGCCAGATTAATGAATCAACAACTTGATATGATAGCTGCGACATAAATTAAAATGTTCTCAGATGAATGAAATAGTGAACACAATAAGTCAAGTAAAAGATATGGTTAGGAGAAAGAAATCACATCACTAGGCACCGACTTTGTATCCAACTGGTTGCTTAACACGAGAGAGAGGATGCGGGAATTCACTTGTAGGCCTGGAAAAATAAGACAGAAGGAGAAATCAAACATCATAAGAATATTTTTATAAATCTTGCAGACAGAAGGGACCCACAGGTAAACGAACCTTAGACTACTAAACTTTTAGCAATAAATAATTAAGAATTACTGCTGGTGCCAGAGGGAAAGATTAAAGGGGTAAGAGTCATCGAAAAAGAGGAGGAGAAAACTTACGTCCATGGCATTGTAAAAAATATATGCAGTGGTACTTTAAGGGCCATTGCAACATGAGTATGCCCTGAATAGTCATCAATGTGAATAATCAGAATAGTTCAATAAATAAATAGGTATAAGTACCTAACAGTTCTACTAATTAATATCAGAAAATGCTAAGTTGCTAACTCAGCCTAACAAAGTTCTAATATGAAATAAAAAAGCTATCAGGGGGATACAAATTTATCCGACAAAATACCATTTCTTGGTGTATGCATGACCTTACAATGCAGTTAAATTTCCTAAGGATAGTGTATTAACAAAAATTCAACTATGAAAGTGTACCTAGGCCTTTCTTGGCATCATATGTGATTAGAATATGTAGGTTAGTACTTTTTATTTATTTATTTATTTTAATGGAATGTAGGTTAGTACTTAGTACTTAGTAGTATGGGAAACCTTGAAATTTCAATATGGACCCAAGGTTATGTGAAGTCAAAGTCAATGAGACCTCATAACGCTCAGTTGCTCATAGGTGCGTGAAACAAACTAAGGAGAAGACTCAGAGGAACTACTGGCACTGAAAGGACCAGATGACACTGGATGAAGACATTAATTCTACAGAAACAAAAATATACATCTATCATGCTCCTCAATTTACCATTTGAATACACACACATTCGTTCTAGCAGTCATACTTCTCTACCGGCAACATTCTTTTGTTACAGCTTTTGAATTTGCCTTAGTCAAAACAAAAATAAAAAACCGAAGAAAACATGGAAATACAATGTGGGAGGACAGGGGCAATGATGACTTCCACAGAAGCAAAGAGACCTCATACAAGATGATTACTTGAGACTCAAAAGTTAAGACAGAATAGAGCATGTTAATTAAAAAACAAAAAAATAAAAACTCAACTTAAATCAAAGATCTTACCATATGCTGGAGGGTTGGCAATGATGGCATCTACTTTGAATGGATCATTAGATTCTGGATCGGGATCTGTGCATGCCGGAAGTAAGGAGAATACAATATCTTTTATCTGGTTTCGTTGAATAAGTATTTCAGAAGTCCCAGATGGCAAGAAACCTTTATTTTTTACCATATCTGTAACAACCATAGTTATTGAAATCAAAAGGTATTGATTGCATATTTGCATTATTACAAATGTAAGCTATATTAGTGAACAGTAATATTTTTACCCCTGCTTTTATTTAAATTAGTTAGAATACGGTATGCTATGGGTGAAAGCAATCATTGATCAACTAAATGGGAATAAAAAGTAATACGAGCTCCATACTATACTGCACTTCTTTATGCCTTCATTGCAATGAAAAAAACAACTAGAGCCTGAGTCAATAAAGGGTTGACCCTCAAGTACGGTGAAAATCAAAAGGTTTAAGGCAGTAAACTAATGTTCTCAAACTTACAAGCAGCAAGGACTTTTGGATCCCCACCAAGAGGATAAAACTCCAACCCAGAATCCAAAACAAACTCTTTAAAATTGGAGTGTGTAGCCAATCTCACCCTATGACCATATTCCTGCCAGGGCAAAAAGAAGTTGATTTAGCTAATAATAATCTGCCGGTTCTTTCTAAATTTCTCTCACAAAATGATAAATGCTTGAATGTAAAGGATTAAGCACATAAAACAGGAAGGAATTCATTACTAGTAGGTATCAGGAGAAACTAATTATTATATAATAAAAAGAACAAAAAGACTTGCATAGAAATACAATACATCTCATTAATGTACTGTTTCATAAAGAAACAAGCACTGAAGTGCCTGCCATGGTTAGTCCCGTGATCAGGTTTTCCTCTATGAAAAGGATTTTCACCTTTAATTTTTTCCCAATAGCAACAAATGGTTGTACATCTCCTCTGGTTCCAACAATTAGCATAACAATTTGGAGTGGAGGCAAGTCTTGAATATCTTCTACATCATTAGCGTGTTCCTCTGTAGTTCCATTATCAACAATGCCAGTACCAACATCAAAGTGTTCAGGTTTAATATCTCCTGGAACTTCAAATTGGACAGTTCCATCATCTTGAATGGTGGCAACCCTATCCAACAATTTGTGCTGCAAAAGTTCCAAGTTCAGCATCAACTTAAAGTGTACATGTAGATATCTCAGTTGAAATTTGTAAATATATGCTCT